ACTTATGAAACACGACATTGTTAAGACTTAAATCTCCCTTTGGTTTTTTCTCAAAACTTAACAATTGTTGACTTTTATTCACATTTCTACCAGGAAATTTTGTGCAACTGTGGTTCACATGGAATGTAAGGGATGACGTACCATGCTTCTTAGAATCACATTGATAAAACTTGTGACAGTATTTGCACTTCGCCCTACAAACTTGGCCTTTTTTTCTCTCTAGCACTTTGAAATGATTCCACACTTTTGACTTTTCTGGTTTTTTTATTTTCAAATTTCTCATTCTCATTACTCTCCATAGGGTCATCAATCACTTGTGTAGCATTAGCCAAAGTTGTATTCCCCTCCATCTAAACAAACAAATAAATTGAACAAATTAACCATGCAAGTTTAGATATAAAAAAAATCTAGATTCAATGAATACAAAAAGGCACGAATTAGATAAACATAAAAAGAGAACATACATAAATAATTTATGGTCTAATATCCAAAAAAATAGATAGAATAATTTATGGTCAAATTCAACCTATAGTCATGAATGTTTAATTATTTATGGTCAGAAAAATGAGTTTTAATTCGAATGTTGCAGAGAGATGGAGTGAAACCTCTAGATCATTATAGAGTTTGAAACCTTTGGATCATTGCAAATAGATGGCTACTTTCAAGCAGTGAGTTTCAAGATCAAAAAAAAATGTATATAATAAATTAGAGAGCAAGGAAAAAAATAAAATAAAAAATTGACGGCAGTGAGTTTCAAGTAGAAAAGAAAAAACTCACTGCTTTGAAGCAGTGAGTTTCAAGACCAACAAAAAAAATGTATTCAAAAAATGTGTATAAGAAATTAGAGAGTAAGGGAAAAAAAATAAAGAAAAAAGAAATTGATGGTAGTGAGTTTAAGACCAAGCAGTGAATTTCAAGCAGAAAATGAAAAACTTACTGCTTTCAAGTAATGAGTTTCAAGACTAAAAAAAAAAATGTATTCAAAGAGATGGATAATTAGAGATAATAAAAGAGAAATTTACTAGTCAAAGAAAAAAGGGTTGAGATATGCTCGATAAGGTTGAGATCTACTTCTACTCGATAGTTGATGGCACCATTCGACCTTGAGTTTTCAGATCTGCTCAATAGGGTTGAGATATACTTCTACTCAATCATTGATGTCATTCTTTGGTCGATTGTGGATCCATTGATGAAGAATAGTAGAAGAAAAATAAGGGTTTTTTCGTTTGTGATAGAGAGAAGCAGCAGAAGAGAGACTGAGATAGTGAAGTCTAAGGTTAGTTTGCTTTTATAATTTTGTTTTTTTGACAAGACAAATCCAGAGTGTATATGTATATTTTATATTATTATTAAATACTATTCAGGTGGGTTGGTTATTTCGGGTTTGGACTTGAAGGTTTCCGCAAGCCGAACCAATTTTATCGGTTAATTTATATTTTCTTCCGAAACCGACTCGGAATAAATATTACCCACCCGTTTTCTATTTGAAAGGGTCGGTTTTGTCGGGTGATCGGGTATTTTGCACAGCCCTAATCCCAAGTATCATTGTTGTATAGAGCATTGAGTTCTTCTTGCATAGCATTAGCCCAACCCGGATAAGCAAGAGCAGATTTTATAGTCTTAGGCTCTTTTGGGATATCAGTGGATATAAAAAATGCATATTTGGGATTGGTTTTGACAATTCCAACCTTGGATCTAGTCATCATGGAGTGTCCAATGGACTGTGAAGGAGATGAAGAATCTGGCCTAAGTTCTGTATCATTAGTGGAGCTTGTGCTATGGGGCTGAAATGTTGGATCAGATTTAGCTTATGTGCCAAATGTTGGGCTAAGTTCTGACATGGGTGGTACATCTGATGCATGCGTGGGCCTTGCACTTGACTCTAGAATGGGTTTAACTTGGCCGCTAGGATCCTGTAACAATTCATGAAGAGTTGATGCTTGAGAACCACTGTTGGTGGGTTCTAGTGATGAACCATCAACGTGATCATGGGTTGGCACAGTAAAAGGAGGTGATATGTGCGCTTCTTTCACCACCTGATCTGCTCATTCTTGAAAAGTAGATATGGCTTGATTTTCCTGTTCTGCTTGGATCAAATGTGGGTTAGGATAAGGAGAAATGTGCTCATCAAAGACAACATGATGAGAAATATATATCCTACTCGATGTGGGGCATAAGCACCGATGTCCTTTATCCTTCATGATGTAACCCAAAGATACACATGGTAAAGACTTGGGTGCAAATTTGTTTGAAGCATAACCATGGAGATAAGGAAAACATTTGCTTCCAAAGACTTGAAAAGAGGTATAGTTGGGATTTTTACCAAACAATCTCTGAAAAGGGGAGTCCATATCGAGAACCCATGAAGGCATACGATTAATGAGAAAAACAGCGGTATAGAAAGCATCAATCCAATATTTCTTAGGAACATGAGAATGTGCCATCATAGTGAGTTCAAGTTCAATAATATTGCGGTGCTCACGTTCGGCAAGACCATTATGTTCTGGAGTCTTTGGACAAGACAGATGATGAATTATTCCAGATTTAATGAGATAGCTTCCAAAAGCCCCATTTGAGTACTCACCTCCACCATTGGATTGAAAAATCATTATTTTTGTACCAAATAAATCTGAATTGGAAGAAATCTGATTTCCTTTTAAGAGGGTATAGCCAAGTAAAATGTGTGCATTCATCGATAAAAATAACATAATAGTGATAACCATCATGAGATTTAACCGGAGCTGGACCCCATAAATCTGAATGTATAACAGATAATGGTTTATCAGAGAATATTCGTGACGACAAAAATGACAATCTACGAGATTTTTCAATTTGACAACTACACAAATGGACTTATTATCCCAATTATGGACTCTAATGATGTCTTTATTATTCAAAAATCTGATCACTTTGGAATGAGGATGCCCAAGCCTCCAATGCCAAACCTTCTCACTTATATCTTGATTTCGATTTGAGAAAAGAGCTATTGGATGCACCTTTTTAAAAACTTAGAGATTTCCAATTTTACTGCCCTCAATCTGGATGTTTTTGTTGCTCCTGTCCTTTATTACAAAACCACCATTGAAGAATTCAAAATTACAAGGATTATCACTTGTAAATTGGCTTACTGACAAAAGGTTTTTCTTTAAGTCTAGTACTAAAGGTATATTTTTAATAACCATTTATCTATGTCTATTATCAATAAAAGCATCCCCAATATGAGAAATCTTGAGCAGTTGACCATTACCAACCATCACAGCATCATAACCCTTATACTCTTTTAAATTAAACAATTTACCAGGATCCCCAGTCATGTGAGTTGAAGCTCCTATATCCGGGTACCATGCATGATCTTAACTGTAGCTGATTGCCATTGCAACAAGTCCCTGAGGCACATCATTTGAGACAAAAGATTGATTAAATCTATGCCAACACTTCAATTCAATATGGCCAATTTTGTTACATATTTGGCATTTTGGAATGGAGCCAAAGTTAAAGAATTTATTGTCGTCCTTGCCAGATTTTCTGCCATGATTTTCACCGGATGATTCAGAGTTATTTCTATAAGTCTGGTTCAGCTAGGTGAAACCTTTGCCACGTGAAGAAAAATTATTATAACGAGCTTTGTATGAAGGTCCATGGCCTCTTTGAGCAACAAAAGCAACATTCTGATTGTTAGCTTGGTGAACCTCATGCATTGATAACCATGTCTCATGACTTTGAAGCAGGGAAATAATTTCTTTATAGCAAGGTGTTGGGGGTTTCAGCATAGTTGTCACAAAAGATTTATATTCAATCCCCAACCTACTAAGTAACCAAAAGACTTTCTTCTTATCATCAATGGCTTCCCTATGGCAGCAAGATCATCACAGATAGTCTTAAATTTCCGAATGTATTTGGATAAAGTGGATGTACGTTTCCTTAACATTTGTAGTTTTTGTGTAAGATGAAATTCTAGTTCTTGAGAATCTTGTGCATAAGCATCATGCAAAGTGTTCCATACCTCTTTGGAGGACTTGAGTCCGACAACAAGACCAACACATCTTCACTTAGAGTGCCAGTTATTCAACCTCTTAACAATCGGTCAGAACGTCTCCATGCTACAAAATCTGGATTGATGATCACCTTCTGACTAGTGGTTCACACATCATCTGTGGCGGCAATTGTTTGATCCGGTGGCATTAATTCACCATTGATAAACCCAGTAAGATCTTGGTTTTCTATAAGTCCAAGCATTTGGATTCTCCACAATAGATAATTGGTACTGGTGAGTTTAATGGAGGCAAAATTTCCTACATTCAAAGTTGCAGGATATGGGTACTTTGTATTGGCCATGATAGAGAAGAAGAGGTTGAAGGCAATTTTTCACACAACTCAAATCTTGTTAGGTTCCGATACCATATGGAATTTTTGAATATTATTATTTTTCTTACCACTAGAGAAGGAAATCTCTTCTCTTTATATAAGGAATACAATAGGCATAATATATGAAAGAAAACCATTTGAAATTCAAACAAATAGTTTCTTAAGACAAGAAAGGAAAGAATATAAAATCCAGAGAAATTTAGGGAGATAATGGTTAATCTGCACTTCTCTTGTGCCATGATCTAATCCTTGAGATTGATATGCTATCCCTTTGTTTGAGGAATGATTTTGTTCCTTGATTTGATTGGAATCATTACTTTCAATAGTGAGCCTCTATTCGACAATGCCTCCGGACACAGCTATGCCGACGCGATGGTGGCTCCATACCCTCAGAAAGGGTATGGGAGACAACAAAAACGCGTTTTTTTAGCAAAATGTCATCCCTTACTCCATTTCATCCTAACGTCAGGAATGGCGGGAAGGGAAAAACAACGCATTCCAGAAAGGTCATTCTTTACTCCATTCCTTCCTAAAAGTTAGGAATGACAAGATAGGCGCCTTACTAGAAGGTCATCCCTTACTCTATTCCTTCTTAAGGTTAGGAATGGCGGGATAGGAGACTTCCTAGAAGGGCATCCCTTACTCCATTCTTTCGATGGGGGGCTTCATTAGATCTTCCAAAGAAATAGAAAAGTCAAGGATTACCTTGGCATACCAATGAAGATATTCACGATGGAATTTGAGATAAGACTGTAATAAGTCTCTTCAACATCATTTTTTCATCATTTATCCAGAATAGGCGCAACCGGTAAAAGGACTTTTCATCCTCCTATTCTTATCTCTTTATTCCAAGAAAGAAAAAAGTGGAGTCTTGGTCAAGCCGCCCTATTCTATTACCAGACATAATTGGGAGAAGCTCATCCGAAACTAGAGCTAGAAACTCCTTATTTCATTTTGCTCCCGTTCTACATTTCCTTCTTCTCAAATCCAAGGGGTTAAACTTCCAAAGGGAGGGAATGCCCTCTTCTTTCTCACAATGAGGCTAAACCAAATACGCTTGTGATTGTTGTATGTTCTTTGAGCTAGAATAACCATTTAGTTTGAATTCTAATTTGTTGGAAACACATGGATTTTTATGTGTTGACAGTTATTATGCTAATATGCCATAAAAACATGCAACTACAACATGTTTCTTACATCAGGAAGTAAAAATATCAAAAATGGCCAATTTTTTTAGGTGCTACTGTAACAGATATATTACACAATTGACAAACCTGTTATGTTCCTTTTTAGCTTGAGAATACTAGATACGCCATGTTGAGCAAGGAAGTTGCAGAAAAGACCCATGAGTTGAGGTATGGTCGTATTGCCATTAAAGTTCTTCTACATATGAATATCAAATTTATAATATTAAGAAAAAATTTCTCCTAAATAGAAAATTGTCGGGAGAAGAGCTCCAAGGACTTGATATGAATGAATTGATGAAATTGGAGAAGTTGCTGGAAGGAAAATTAAACCGTGTCCTGAAAACAAAGGTTTTGTGGATGTATTTGTGTTGTTGAAGTTATTATGATTTTATGAACTTACAATACATGTAGCTCTAACGCATTTAAAATTTTTCAGGGTGATAAAATTCTGAAAGAGATTGATGCTCTCAAGAACAAGGTCAGTCAACTGATAAACATTGCATGAAACTAGCTTCTTGTAGTTGCTAGAATCGGAAAGGCATATAACACACAGAAATCATGGAACTGGATTCTTCTAAAGAAGGAAGGAACAGTGAAAAATCATTTGGTTTCATGAACGGTTTTTGAATGATCAGAAAATATAAGTGGAAAAGCTGCAAGTATGCCTTTTGGGATCTATTTTTTTGACGTGGGTAATAAAAGGTATGAAAATAGTGGGGCCATTGAAATGAATCGACCTTTTCGAGCTTTGGTATGCTAAGATTTAGCTGGAGTTTATTATAAAGCCTTGAGCATCACTATTCAATTTTCAATTTTTTTTCAAACTCATCTTGATTTCTGATCATATGCTCAGGTCTCTCTTGATTCATTTTGTACGATGACCTCGAATTTGAGCTCAAGCTAGAGTAAATCTGAAAAACACCAGCCAATCAGACTTGAATCTATAACCTCTTGATTAATAGTCAAGACATTTATTTGATAAGCTAATAGTGCTATTTCGTTCTTTTTCACAACAAAACAATTGGTACATATGTCGACGTTTATAAACAAATTGACCATGAAACTACCGACCAAGCTGTGCAACACAAGCTTAAAATTTGATCATCTTTAATCCATTCCCTAATACCCGAACCGTGCTCGAATTGCTCGGTTCATTTAACAGCCCATGAGGCATCATATTTCTCATTCCCACATCATGGCTAACTTGCATTCTATTTATCCTTAATGAACAAGCAGGAAGCCCAATTGATGGAAGAGAATGCTCGGTTGAGACAAGAGTTAGAGTTTCAGTGTTCTTTTCTCCTTCTTGTTAAATTTTTATTGTGTTTTGTTCAAAGGTTGATTTAAATTTCTGATTCCAGATTGTGGACATATCTCATGGTGAAACAAATGCTCTTCCACAAGGCCACTCATCATGGTCAATCACCAACTACTGTGTCTCAGTTCATCCTCCTCAGGGCTGCAATAGCTTTGACACTTCCCTCAAGTTGGGGTAAGATTATTAGGGTTCATTTTGAAGTTGACCTAAACGAATCCTCTGCTCCTAAAGTTCGGGTTATAGGATATATATATATTTTTTGATAACAGAGAATCAACCTAAGAACGTGATCTTTGAGTTCGTGGTTTTATTATAAACTTGGGATGTACATTATTGCTTACTAAACCACATGCATTGGTTAAATCTGAATTTTGCATGGAGGAAATGGATTTGAACTCGAGTTATGTGGGTTTGTGACACGTCCCCTATTCAACAAATTGAAATGTATATTTTAACTAACTGGTTGTGGTGAGCTGAAGGGTTTCTGATGTTTGTCAGTGAAGTCTTGATTTGTATTGCTAAACCAACAATGACTTTCTTTTGCTGAAGGCTATGTGTCTAACTCTTCTCATGAAAATCTTTTGCAGCCTACCTTTCCCCAACTGAACAGCAAGGTTCGGAGGCGTTTATCGGTAAGGAATGAATAGTTTCGATGATGGTACGATAGGATTCAAGTAGATCTATTGGTATTGATAATTTGAATAAGATGATGATACTGGCTAGAGTGGTATATTTGTATTTTCTTGTATATAATAGGGTGGAACTCAATGCATCAAGACTATATCGTTCCTTTTATTTAACTTTCCCACATGTAAATCATATACCAATTCAGTTCTTTGTCTTTGGGTTGACATTTTACATGCTTTAAGTTATTGGATGAATGACACTTTACACCTTGATAGATTTTAAAATTTTTAATTTATACCCTAAAAGATTAAAATTCTCACATTTCATCTTCAATCAGATAAAAATATAGCAATCTAATCCAAAAACTTTAGCCATTTGAACTTTGATGTGCACATATTTGGCCCTTCTCTATCAATTACCCAATTTCCGTTGCTGAGTTTAAATTCTAGTTCAAGTTCAGTTTAATATATTGATCATATATTTAGGTTTGAGACAACCAGAGTTGTTTTATGGTACGAAGTTAGGCTCGAGTTACTCGAACTTTCAATCTCTTGTTTAGTAGTTAAAACCTAATCCAATCCATTGAACTAAAGGTTACACTATTATTTTTTTCACCATAAAATAAATTTATAGTAAATTTTATTTTGCCCCCTAAAAGATTTAAAAAAATTTAATTTATCCCCCAAATAATTATTTTTTTCAAATTGTTCCCTCAAAGAAATAAAAAACATTATAATGTAATTCACCACCTTATTTTCATTTGATGGTTTGTTTGTTTTATAATTTTTGATTGGTTGATTTGACACAATAGACGGCAATAAGACGGTGAATCACATTTTATTTCTTTGAGGGGTGATATGAAAAAATTAATTAATTGGGAGCAAATTAAAAATTTTTTATCTTTTAGGGTGCAAAATAAAACTTTTCCATAAATTTCTAAGTAATATTACTAACAAATTTATAAATTTTCGACACATTGTTCCAGTTCTGTTTGCCCTAATTGTATAGAACTTGTTTGAATAGATAAATCCAGTAAATAGCAAATTAGCATTACCAATTGAATCTTTAGATAATTTTGACCAAAATAGGGCACAGCACCCTAAGTGCACCAATGCTAGCAAATCATCACCCCATCACGAACCCACTACCAAATCTCATGAATCCTCAAACATTATTTAATCTGATTCTAATTGAAACCATAAATCAAAATATACATCACCCATTAACCGAGTTATATTGTCTATAAAAATCTAATACCAACCAATCTCCATCTGCCGAAAATTCATCTATCACAAATGCAAATATTAGTCACACTATTTGACTTGGATTGGAAGGGTGGTGGTAGTGGTAGTGGTGGGCACATGTGCAGGGTCAGCCCTAGGTATAGGTTAGTAAGGTCATTTCAACTCCTTACTCAAATACTTACTTAAATATAAATTTGAGTAAAAAATGACTAAATATAAACTCCAGTCTAGTTTAAGAGCGCAAATCAATGTCTAGTTTTGTTAAGTTTTAAATTATTCTCCACTTAGTTAAGCCCAATAAAAACCCTAAAAGAAAATTCCTATTATAAATATGAAATCTAATCCAACTCTAAGTCCAAACTAAATTTCAATGGGTTTAACCAACACTCTAATTGAAATATTATATTACACAAAAAAATTATATTTTTTTTCAAGTGCATATATTGCTTCTAAAATTTTTTTAACAATATTTGTAATAATTGCTTCATTAAAAATGAAAATTTTAAATTTTAAATTAATAAAATCTTATTTGTGGTCAACTATGTCACAAAAAAAATTGAATAGATTAGATACATTATCAATTGATAAAGATTTATCGACAAAACTTGAATATAAAAACTTCATCAATATTTTTGCATCTCAAAAAATAAGAAAAATATTTTTTAATTAAATAAAAAATTAAATTATAAAAACTAAAAATAATATATCTATATATATATATATATATATATTAAATACATGAAATAATACTAGGGCCCGTATAAAATCTTCGCCTAAGGCCCTGTTTACGTTAAGCTGCCCTAAAGATGATAAAGTGCATGTAGCGGCAATGATAGGGTTGAAAATTTCATTTGTTGTTCTCTCTCTCTATTGATTACTACCTTAGCTTGGAGTAGGCTGAGGCCAGACCTCTCACTCTTCCATTATTTGCATACTTACCTATATGGAAGTAGTGATAGTGGCCATGACAGTAACAGTGCCCAAGGCGGGTGATTGTAATGAATTCGGGCAAAAACAAAGAAAAACAACATTCATTTCTCTTTGTTCTCTCTCTATCACCAACAGTGAGTTGGTGGAAAAAGGGGAAGGGGATGAGGGATCATTGGTAGGGGGGCTGATCAAGTGGAAGGGTTAGGTGGGGAGAGGGGAAAGATCAATGGATATGGGGGAGGAGATGGAAATGGTCGGAGAATTATATTGCAAAAGTTGGAAAGGGTGGCGAGGGAGAAATGGATTGGGGGTTAGCATTTGATCTCTCTCTTTATCCATCTGTTTGGATATTGAATAATAATTATAATAATTAGAAGGGTAACACATAATTTTTAAAAGAAATTAAAATTTTGAAAATTAATTATCAAGGTAGAAGGGTGATTTTAAAAAAAAATTGAATCCCTCTCTCCCTAATTATATGTATAATATATCATAAGAAATGTTATTTGGACTTAAGATGTTGATATTATTTATCGATTTCAATAATCACAACTACTAAATAGGTAGTGAATCTCAATAAATGTTATGACAACAATTAAATCAACTTCGACATCTCACATAACTCAATTACTATCGAACATAACCTTATATTTGGTTAGTTTTGATGATATGACAAGTGACAGTTTAGCATATAAATTTGTTCTCATATCGAACAATAATGCCCCTACAAGGCCATAATCAAATCAAACAATTACCCTATAGGGCTATAATTATATTTCACAAATTATGTCCAAAGCAAATTTTGTACACGTACCAATCAATACCAAAATATTTAACACAAGATACAAGTTAAATAACAAATATATAGAATTTCATATCAATCAAAAATTACAAATAAGAACACAAACTTTGAGATAAACAAATAGGACACTCTTTATAAAGAGATTTAAAGATATTGGTATATCGTGTATTACCCTTTATCTTAATTCACCAAATGATGATGATAAATTTGATCACCACCAGATTAAGAACATATACCAATTTATAGAATTTAGGACTAAAATCGCCATCTAATTTCCACCAAAAATCTCATTTTTTTCTTTTTCTTATTTCTATCTTTTTCTCTGTTTTCTTCCTTTCTTTCTTCTTATTGTTGAATTACTTGGCAAACCCTTTCTTATAACCAAATCTTATTTGGCCACTTATTTGGCCACTAAACATCTTATGTCACAATGCTTAGGCATGCATGTTGACATCAAAAGACACTTATCTATTTTCCCAATATTTGTTCTTTTTTGAAAAAAAAAAAAACCAATACACATGTCGACTCCTTATTCTCAATATGACACTTGTCCAATAGTCATTTCAAATGTAAAATTGTTCACCTTTTTTATTACATATTAATTTATGTGACATATTTTTACACATTTTACATCGTTCGGACACATTAGATATTAATTAAACAAAACTAATATTATAAGCATTTGATTCATTTTAACTTATATTTGAGGTTTATTTATTTATTTTAAATTTATGAAAATAAACTTTGAAAATATAAAACTATAGTTATCTTTCTAATTAATAATTTGGGTTATCACATGTATATTTAATTTATATTGTTCTATAATTTATTGATATTTATATACCTAAATCTAAATTCATAGAATACATCACAACATATAGAAATTTAAATTTTAATAGCGAGCAATGCTATTGAGGCGCAACTTACTGATATAATTTATTGACATAATTCATTGTGATATTTGGATTGACTGTAGGCCCAATCAAACATTGAAATTTGGTGTTGATCTAATAATTCTTATAAAAATACATCATTATGTCAATAAATTATATTAAAATTTTAAATTTAAATAACATTTTTCTTTAATAACGGGCCACAAAATATTAGTCAAACTATGATTAATCAAACTCGAATCAAATATGGTTGATCCACTAAACTGATGTGGAGTTTTACTTTTTACTATACGGGTAAGGTTACTGTATCGGCTTTTTATTTTTGCACCATACTTTCATTAATATCAGTTATTAAATTTAAATTATATTCATAATTATAAAATGATAAAAAAAATTTATACACTTGTTTTTATTTTAGTGCGTAGTGCCAAACCTCAGTTCAGCACTTCTAGTAGAGAGAAACAGTAGATTTCTGTTTTACAAAGGTGAAATTACTGATAGGCCCCCACCATCAACACCTGGTCAACGCCAACAAACTTAGAAGCATGGCCTTTTCTGCAAAAGCTCAGTCCTCTTTAGTCCACCCAAAAGATATTCCCCGTCACCACCCCCTCCCCCCCCCCACCCCCCCACCCCAAAAAAAAAAATCCACTTTCCTCTCAGCCCCCATGACATGTTCCTTCACCCAAAACACACCGAAGAGGAAGAGAGAGAAAGTTGTAGAGAGAGAGAAACCAAAAAATGGAACCTAACACAAGCTCCTGGGCGGAGGCACAACGTTGGCTCACCATCGCCGAGAAACTCCTGATCTCCGGTGATCTTATCGGAAGCAAAACATTCGCGATCCGGGTCAAAGAGTCCGACCCGAATTTCGAGACGGCTTACCAAATCCTAGCAGTGGCGGACACATTACTTGCCGGCGATAAGAGAATCAACGGCCAACGGGACTGGTACGCGATTCTCCAACTTGTCGGACCGACCCATGACTTGGAACTCATCTCGACTCAGTACCGCCGACTCGCTCTTCTTCTCCATCCAGAAAGGAACAAGCTTGCCTTTGCTGAACAAGCCTTCAGGCTCGTCATCGATGCTTGGTCAGTTTTATCGAACCCTTCGAAAAAGTTCTTATATGATAACGAGCTCAATCTCTCTTTAAATCTCACTCCAAACCCAGTTCTATTTCCAAACCCCCCAAACCCAGTTGGGTCTGGGTCTGTGTCTGGGTCGAGTCGAGAGCAAGAAAGTCAAAATCATCAGCCACCACAGCAAGAGCAATTGAAACAAAACCCTTTGAATAGCAGTTATAATTATGATAGTGGTGGAAAGGGTAATGAGAAGAGTGTAAGAGAGGAGGTTTCGCGATCAGTGCATGTTGAACCTGATCAAAGTTCGAATTTTTGGACTGCTTGTCCGTATTGTTATCATATGTATGAATATCCTAAGATTTATGCAGAGTGTACACTTCGGTGTCAAAACTGTAAAAGGGCGTTTCAGGCGGTGGTAATTTCGTCGCCACCGCCGATTGTTGATGGGAAAGAAGCTTATTTTTGTTCTTGGGGGTTTTTCCCATTGGGGGTTTCGGCGTTGAATTTGGATAAAAATAAGGGGCTTTCAGGTTGGACACCTTTTTCGCCTATGTTTACCTGTCCTCAGATGGTAGAGAAAAATGGGGGCACAGAAAATTTGAAGAAGAACAATGCTCCTAGGATTTATTTTGATGATGATGATGTTTTTGTGCAAGTGACAGATTCGAGTGAAGATTCTGATGATGATTGGGGTCGCATTAAACAGAAGAGGAAAGGGAAGAATGTGAAGGAGAAGGGTACACCAGGTAGAAAGGTTAAGAAACCGCAAGCAGATAAAGGAAAGAATGTTAAAGGAGGTAGTGGTGAGAATTTGCAAGGTGGGTTTGTAATGCAAGAGGGTGTGCCAGCGAGTAATGTTGTGACGGCTGAGTCAAGTAAGAAAGCGACAGTGAGTAGCACAAGAAAGCCACCTGCAAAAGTTGCTAAGGATTTGGGGAAGTTGGATTTGAATCTAGAGTTTAGTAATGAGATTGAAGAGCCTGCACTAGTAATGCGTGGAGGACATGGAGCAGGAAATGGGGAGGATGATAACATCGGATATGGCTTTTTTGAGGGCCTTGATGAATTCCTGAGTGGTTTGCCGATACTCTCTGGTGTGGGTGATGATAAGGTTAAGGCTTCTTAGTGACGTAAGACTCTTTTTTCATGTTGTTGTAGCTGCTTTTTCTTTTTGTTTATGTTTGTAGTAAATAATTATGTAGAAAACTGGGAATTCGTTTAATGGTTTCATTGTAGTTCAATGTAATTTACTCTATCCGGGCTATAATGCATTAAGTGGATTAATCCCTCCTGGTTAGATAATAAGGCTGTGAAATGGAAGGTTACTGATTGAGCTGCTGGTGTTTTTCCACCGTTTGCTTCATCTGTTTCATCCCCTGTATCATGCAAGTCCTATTATCTCTGAGTATGGAGTGCATGCAGCAAAAAGCAAAGTAGAGTAGGGCTGGCTGCCCAGCTTGTGCCTACCTATATGTAAGTGGAATTTCAACTTTGTAATACCTCATTGAACAAAACCTTGAGTTATTTACACCTTACTTTTTCAAAGGTCTCTGTTTGCCGATTATCATCTGTACTGCATCTTTTTCTTCTTTTATGCTTCGTTTTGCTTTAGTTGCTAAATTATCCTACCTGAACAAGACTTGTACATGGCTGCTGATTTTATTTTGTTGATCAATCCTTTGTGGATTCTCGAACTCATGGTTCATGTTAGTTTCCCAAGTAAATGTCACTACCGAACCTGGCAACATGGCATGATGGGTCCTGACAATAAGTTACTTTAGATCATGGTGTTGTCTTGTTGACATTGGTATGTATTTCAATTAAAAATTTTGTATTCTAAAATTTGCAGCTGCAATATGTTTTAGGACTGGAATAGAATTAATAACAAGAAATGGAATTAAGTTTATGTTTTTCTTTCTGCATCCCTTTCTCTTATTCTCTTTCAATGTTTTGATTTGCAGGAATCCCAGCTTGTTTATTCATTTTGGAAGCCCCATAATCGCAATAATTATTATGATCAATTAACCATATATGTTGTCATCATTTTTATGCCGATTTATTGAAGGATGTGGTTCTTTATTTTTCATTTTGCACAAATTTGTTTATGTTGAGAGGGCTCTTGTCTCAGATTGATGGTGAGTAATGGCAGAGAATAAGGTATTGTATCAAAGTCAGGGTTATTCTACCTACTTGAACTTGCACTGGGAAATATGAGCACATAGAAAGGTCATCATGAAATTGGCTTGGTGGAAAAATTTCCTGTTGTAGTAAATCTTGAATTCTCTGCGTACACACTTGAATTTCTGATTTTCCTCTTTTTTTTTCTGCTTTTCCTGTTTATATGTGGTTATAGCTTTTTGCTACATGGAGGTAATTCTTAAAAAAAAAAAAAAGGTAATTCTTAAAAGATCCACGGTATCCTGATCTTCCTCTAAAGAGAGGTATCAACAGAAACTATACTTGTTTCTCTTCTTTTTGCTTTTATTAATAAACTAATTACCCCAGTTAAACGAATTGTGCTTGCATTTATCTAGTGTCAGGCCCGAAAATTGAAATGTCATATGTGCGGGATGATTTCTTGTTTTTCAGGATTAGCATAGGTTTTTTCTTTGGCATCTGTGTTTCTTGGGCGTGGAAGTGCACTGCATGATGTCTGCACTTAATCAAGCATTAAAATATCACATAAAATTCTTGATTATCATGAAAAAAAGATATGTGTATCATTTGTCCTTTTTGTTGATTTGTTTTTGAGTTTGACCTTTTATAGCCACTCCAAAAAGCTTGCTCCAGGTCCATGAATGTTTGGCAACCATTTATTTTCGGAGTTGTTGGATTATTAGTCTTGGAATCAGGATAATTTGTGAGGCTCATTGGGATGCGTTAATGAGTATTTTTGCATAATAACCGAGGCTTTTCTTCATCTTCTGTTTGCATTTGCCTGCCTTTATGTCCGAGATATGGCTGCTTGATTTAGTTTGTCAGTCAACTTTCTCCTCTCCTTTTTAAAGAATTTAGAATTAAACAATAAATCACCTTCTGAATTGTTGGAGGAAGTTGTCTCCATTTCTTGCAGGGTTTGGGGTTGGACAACTTCATCATAGTCGATGCACTGTTGCTGTATGCTCTGATTCCCTGACCAGTATGCTTTGCATCAGCTTAATTTGTAAAGCTCCCGATTTTACCTAAAATTTGTAGAATCCTTTTTCAACTGTATGTGATTGCAGGTCCTGGAAATGAATCATTGAAGATAACACGAGTATGAAAGTTTTGAAGTCCTTAGATGACATTGTGGTCTGTACATTTTGTTAATTGCTGCATGACTTGTGGTCGGTCTTAGTATTGAAGCCGCTAGTGGTTGAAGGAAAAAACAGTCACTGGAACGTTCGTCTTTGTCAAATTTTCTTGTTTTGCTGGTGTTTTATTTGATGGGAGCCTGAGACTTAACCAGTTGAATGGTTTAGAAGGTTGGCTTGATAAAACGCCTTTGGTGTATTGTTATCAGCAGAAAGAGAAGTAATTTTGTTTGAAGGAGATCAGAAAATAGTATTCGCAATGACAGAACAGATCGGATCTAGAGTGAAGACAAGCGACAAGTGATCAAACAATATGTCGTGTTTGAGTCTTGGAATCATTCTCTTGACAATGGAGGTATCACAAGTGGTAACAGTGACGAGTTATAAATACAGGTTTCTATCTTGAATTCGAATCTTGATAATTTCTTGGGTCAGGTTGAATCTAGAGTGACAAGCTATCGAACAATGTGTTGTGTTTGAGTCTTGTAATCATTCTCTTGACAATGGAGATAGTTCAAGTGATAACAGTGATGAGTTGTAAATACAAACGTCTGTCTTGAGTTCAAATTTTGATAATTTTTTGGGTCAGGTAGAATCTAAAGTGAAGACAAGCAACAAGCGATTGAACAATGTGTTATGTTTGAGTCTTGGAATCATTCTCTTGACAATAGAGGTAGTTCAACTGGTAAAAATTACGAGTTATAAATTCAGGCGTTTGTCTTGAGTTCGAGTCTTGACAATTATTTAGGTCTGGTCGAATCTAGAGTGAAAACAAGCGGCAAGCGATTGAACAATGTGTCGTGTTTGAGTCTTGGAATTATTCTCTTGAGAATAGAGGTAGATCAAGTGATAATAATGACGATTTGATACAAACATTCGTCTTGAGTTTAAATTTTGATAATTTTTTAAGTTAAGTTATAAGAAATTTATCTTTCATGAATTATTTAGTTTTAACATAAATGATCTGACTTTGGCTGGATTAGAGAAGGGATTAGTCATGATGGACATAAACTTATTCGAAAATCCCTGATTGTCGAACTGAAAAAAAATAATAATAATGGTGGTAAGTCTATTTTCTACTTCTCTCATTTAGACTCGGTTATAGACGGGAGTTACACGAGTATCTTTTGTTTTAGCTTTTGAGGTGAAATAACAGAGGGTATAAGTGTCAGGAGTACAAGCTTGTCCTCTACCTACCTGGCTTTGGAAAGATCAGTGGTAGCACTGCTAGCGAAATCCATCCATCTATAACTCTTGGAAGAGCTGTCAATGACTCGGGTTCACGATTTCTTGGATTCGATTCTCGTTAGAATTCGAGAACCTCATCGGAGAAGGTCATGATCTAATAAGGTTAAATTTCTAATCAACGAGGTTAAGTGCCACAGGGTCTAATGGGCCATGTGGGTGCTTAAGAGGCTGCATGTGGCCCATGGGTTGAGTTCGAACCTTTGATTACCAATTGGGCCAACTATAGTAAGCTTGGTCTGTCAGATCGACCTAATAAGTAAGGCCCATGGGCCTTTTTAGTTTGATGGATAGATTTCGTTGCCTTTAGGACGATGGCCTGTATTGTCGACCAATCAAAATTCAACAAAATTTTTTTTTTTATCAAAGTCGAAAAATAGACATGACGAGTAAATATTCATTATAATAATTGCATTACGTTTTTATTGTCACGTATTGTAACCGTTTAATAATAAATAAATAAGAAAATAAGGTGAATTTCACTTTTTTAACTAGAATGATTACTATCTTATACGGACGAATAGTTATGTGAAGTAGTAATTGATTATGGGTCAATTTGATTCGTGACATAAATGCGAATATATAATATGATATTTTTTCCGATACTCAGTGTGACAAAAGTAAGATTAGTTGGTATAATATTTTGGAACGTAATTCGTTTTTAATCGGATCAACTTCTATATTATATTAAATTATATTTAATTGTACATTCATATATGTGTAAGTAATTAGTATTTATTTTGCGATTTGAGTTATAACCGAATATTTGCTCCTATTAAGAGCGGGTCCACCATGTCCCAACTCATTTACCCAAATCAATTATCCGAGACATATGGTGGGCCTTCTGCTATAACATCTTTGCATAGTTGCTATCGTTGAAACTCCAGTTGAGTAGTTGGCTGTTCATTGAGCGAACAGCTGTTTATGGGAAAGCATTGGTTTCTCCGTCTTTTTTGGAGAGAGAAACAAGTGTTCTTTGATCCAACCAACGCCCATCAGTATGACCAAACTGCTTTTTGTGTCTTCTTTGTGTATATATATTCTCAACAATGGCTGAAATGAACAAGCAAGTGCTTTGTCTACTTTTTTCTTCATTACACGCACCCAAAGAAAAGAGATAGATCTCTCTGCAATGGCTCAGGCACTGCTTCCACCTTCCTCTCTCTCCAATTCGTCCACGGACGTACGCAGAACTTCATCTACCACCTCAGCAGTAACTATCTCTCTCTCTCTCTATCTGGTATGTGTGTGTGGCTCAATTTTTTCACTTTTGATGTTTTGTTCGACTTTCTGGAGCAGATCTTTGGTTCCAAGTTGAGATTGTTGGAAATTGAGCAGACCCATTTGAGATTTTCGAATTCTTCCAAGTAAGTCTTTATTGATTTTAGTGTCTTTCTTATCTGAGCTTTTTATTTGTCATTATATCAATTGAAAATCGCAATTTGGTGTTCAATGATTGATGTTATGGTTCTCTAATTTGGATTGCCGTTGTAGCTTCTTGATCTCAAGCTACTGTTCATTGAATTCAGTCTGCTCGAAGAAATTTCTGGCACTAATAGGTATTTAGTATAACAATTTAGATTTAAGTAAAATCTAGTGGCAATCTTGAAAGAGGGTCTGAATGTTGTGGGTCAAACTCAGGGATACGAATTCAATCTAGATGTTGTGTATTGAAAATTTTAGTATATGTTTTTATCTCTTCATCTGCATTATTTTGTGTTTGGGCAGCCCTAGACTTTCTTTGCCTTAGAATCCCCAAAAAAATAGGATTTGGGTTCTATCATTCTATCAGATAGAACATGGGACGAGAAAATTAAAAAAAAAAGTAGGATACGGATACGCCACGATCCGTGTATAACAAAATATATTTCGTATTTTTACTATTATTTACCTACTTAATAATTATATATTTTTGGTAATTCTTCAACATAATAAAGAAAATTAGCAATTTTTTTCTAGTTTTAAAAAAACATATATCATATCATTATGGTATATTCATAAAGTGAAGTGACTAATTAAAGGAATCAAAAGTAATATTTATATAGTTGGTTTGTTTAGAACTATTTATAGTTAAGATTGTAATATAATAGATTCATTTTATGTTCTTTTGACATGTAATAGTTGATAATACTTAAAAAAAAATACTCATGTGTCTTTAAAATAGTATGAATTTTTATTGATGTATTATATGGTGTGTGAATTAGAAAGGAGATATTCAAGATTAAATTAAAAAATTACATATATTGCTCTAATACCAAAGTATCTTCGAAGCATCCAAATATTTTATAATTATTGGATACATAGGAGAACTAGAGGAGTATTTGATATGTATTCGATAAATATCTTATTAGATACGGGTATGCTGTCCTTAACGAAGTATCCGTATTTTGTAGTATATCATTGTCCTTGATAGAGCTGAACGGAGAAATAAGATTCATGTAGCCGACCCAAAACATGATGGGACAAAGTTTTGTTCAGTTGAGTTGAATGTACATATGTAGAACATGGGTCCATTTGATTGTCTAAGTTTGGATGATGATGTACTTGACACAGTTCTCCATTCTTCTTTGGAGTTGCTCTTTACCTCTCAACTACAAATTTCCTCTATAATTGAAGGATCTTGAGTAAATGAGTTCTAACTCATGCATCACAAGCTTCTAATTTGATTGTTTGATGACCACTTATAGGAAATACATTCATTTTAAGATTACAGACATCCATGCAACCTTCGGGATTGACCCCAAGAGATAAGCATGCCTCTATTCTGATTTAACTAATCTGTCCTATTAATGTAAGTAATACATCCAATTTACTAACACATCTGTTGGTCCAAATGTCTCTCTTTCACACTTGGAGGAGTAATCCAGCATTGAGATTGAAGGCCTCCCTTGAGGCTCCGGGCCTGACTGAGAAAATTACAAGCAACAAGCAGAAAAGCATAGCCGTAGCTCAAAATGAGTCTGCTTTGTTCAGTGAGATGAAGCATCGGTTCCTGAGTTTCAAAAAGAATAAATACATGTGAGCAGCATTTAAATCTAGCTTGACATTGTTTAGCGTTATAGAATTTTTAGTTTCCTTAGTAGTCCGGTATTTATTTATTTTCTTTTGTTGTGATAGGGAAAACTTGGAATGCTTTCAAAATCTTGCTAAGGGTCAAGCACCAAAGGTTATATTTTTTTAATGTATCATGCTTAGGCATTTGCCTCATATTGGTTGTTGGAGTGGTTGAGACTTGTTGACTGACAGTTTCGAGAATAGTTCATGGTGATTGCCTGTGCAGATTCTCGGGTTTGTCCCTCCAGCATCCTAGGATTTCAGCCAGGAGAAGCCTTTGTAGTCCGCAATGTGGCAATCTGGTGCCTCCTTTTGAGGTATTGTATATTGGCCATGCTTCCTTGTGGCCTTATGTCACATACTGGTAGAATGGACATGCATGTTGGGGATTTGTGAAAAGTGTACTGAACTATATTTTTTGCAATTTTTCTTATGGTGCAGAGTGGACCCTCAGAAACAAATGCTGCCCTTGAATTTGCTGTTAATGCTCTAGAAGTAATTTCTTTCTTCCTGACCAGCATACTGACATGCCATTTTATTTTTTCTCTACTAGCTCGAAAAGCTATGTAAGCCCACAAATTTTTAGGTGCTTCTGGTCAGACTGGTCTGTCCATATACTAAGGCAACAGTTTACTGTTTGGGATTCAGGAATCAAGAGGAAATTGGAACTATTGGACTTTGCAAATTCAATTAGGATTTCATCGCAAGAGAAATCGAGAAATGAACATAATGCACAACCTGGATTGAATTTCATTGATATTCCAAATAAACAAAAGGAAAGAGAATTTGAAAAAGGGATGGATGTGAGGGGTGCAAGTATTGAATGTGTGCAGGAGGAAAAGCATTTTTGGTAATATTCCATTATGAGAAACTTCGGTTAGCCTGTGGATTTCCAGCAATACTAATGAGTTGTTATGGTATTATTGGATCACAATTTATAAGATTGCATCTGCCATGTTTAAACAGAAGGTTTTTCTACTTTGTGCTCTGTTGACCTCTGTCAAATAAACGGAGGAATGTAAGGTAAAAAATGTTAGCAAGAAACACACTCTTTCTTTTGAACTTCAGCAAGTTTAATTTCCTGCAGGTTGCAAATATACTAGTCATTGGCCACAGCTGCTGCGGAGGCATTCGTGCATTAATGAGTATGCAAGATGAAGAAAATTCAAGGTTTGGAATACACAAAGCTTTATTATCTTTTTATGCCTCTCTCTCTCTCTCTCTCCATAATAGAGGATTTTGTTATGTTTTTCATCCATCTTATTGTGCTATCCAGAAGCTTCATTAAAAGTTGGGTGGCTGTTGGGATGCATGCAAGGTTGAGCACTAAGGCTGCTGCTTCCAACCTCAGCTTTGATCAGCAGTGTAGACACTGTGAGAAGGTACTATATGTTTCTAGTTCAGCATTTACCGTCATTGAATGCTTCTGTTTCAATGCGATAACAGGATATTTTGCATTTACAGTTTATTTTTGTTTTTGGAGGGAGGGTGTTACCCGGGATTTTGGTCTATTGTTTGATTAGGCTAATAGATAACTTCTTTTTTTTTTTTCAGGAATCTATCAACCGTTCAATGTTGAACTTGCTCACTTACCAATGGATAGCAGAGAGAGTGACAAACGGGTTGCTCTCCATTCATGGTGGCTATTATGATTTTATTGACTGTACATTTGAGAAATGGACCCTTAATTACCACGGGAGTAGTTCAAAAGAGGAAAATGGCAGATACCCAATCATTAATCGAGAATTTTGGTGCTGAGCTCTACTCTTAATATTTCATATGTTAATGTTGTTACTGAAATGATATGTAAAATAAAAGTTTGATGTAGTTGAGGAACTTTTTGTAATTTAGACCACTGAAATAGTTAAATGTTATTTTCAGTTATGTTGAGGAAATCCTACATTTTATTTTCTCTTTCACTGCATTGTTTCTTTTAGGGTAAAACTTCATTTTACCCTTGTGGTTTATCCCATTTGCATATCACCTCTTTACAGATTAAAAGTAGCATATAACCCCTTTGTGGTTGTAAGACTGAAATGCACCGTTGGGCTTCTGGCCACGTGCCATATTGGGAGACTAAGTATGAAAAACGGAAATATGAAAGACCTAAATACCCTTACCTCGCTCTCCCTTCTTTCCTTCTGCAACCCCTCCAACTTGTTGCACACTGGTATCGGATCATCCTAAATATAGCTACCAGCACTCCAGTTTGCACCACCTCCACAGGCCAGACTACATGCGCGAGACTTCCAACTGGTTATCAATCCCCACCTCTCACAATTTCACATAATCTCTGTCTCTCTCTCGCTATCGCACACAGGCACACACAGAGCTCTCCCCTTTTCCATCAATTGTCACTTCTCTGACCAGTCACCTTCTTTTCAGAGCTCCAATCAAACCCAAATTGAAGAACCCACCAAACCCTTGAATGTCTTTTAAACAAACCTAAAAAATGCAAAACAAATCCATAAAATCAAGAAAATCCATTAATCTAAACTTAAAAAAATAATAAAATACGGCTTATTTTGATTCAATATATCTATGTATATATAGAGAAGATGACTAGCAAATTCACTTATTCAAAATCAACATGTATAAAGGTCTCTATTCTAACCATCCACGGCAACCCATGAAGGGTGTTTTGGATTTTTGGACCCACAACAATTGATAACACAGAGGTCTGGTTTTTGGAAGTTTGCTTAGTTGTTTTTTATATTTTGGATTTTGTTTGTTTGATTGGATTTTGGGGTTTTTGTTTGATGGGGAGTGGTGGTGGCATGGCTGGATGATTTTTGTTTTCTTTTGATCATTGGTCTCTTGGGGGATCTAATTGAATGGATATTGAGTTGTCCGCTAGACCAGGTATAAGAAGAATTGGGTGGCGTTGTTGGAGAAAAAGAATGGAGGAGTATGAAGGTTATCTTAATTTTTTTGTTAACGAAGTTAAACGGTGCATATTTCAGTCCAACAATTATAGGGGGTTATGTACTATTTTTAATCTATTTTTGCAAACTCTTTCTTTTATGCCTTTAAAGTAGGGGTGTTCACCTATGCGGATAGGAAATATAGTCTTTTATCTTCCTACTTAATATTTTGCGAATTTTTTTTTTTTTTTGCCTACCCTACCCGATCAAGTGTGGTATTCTTACCCAACTTCCTTCCCGATTAATGAGATAGGAAGTCTGGTAAACACTTTTAGAGTTATTAATTTTTGGATCATTTAAATAATTCAATTAAATAACATGCATCAATTTAATAATACAATAAATCAATAACACCTAAACCTAAAACAACTATAACAACAATTACAATAAAACACAAGAAAATATGAACATTATGTACAATGCAAGAAAGCATGAGGATCGACAAACACCGTCAAGTACATTGCAAAGTGCAGGCACTGGCTCTAGTTGTTTTGGATTCCAATTTAAGACTTGAAATTTAGGATTTTTCATATTTGATGTTAACTGAATAAGTTTTGAAAGCTTAAAAAAAACAAAAAAGGTCTGAACGATACTTTAAAAAAAAAATAGAGAAGACTTGAACGATACTTAAAAAAAAATAGAAAAGTCTTGAACGATGCTTAAAAGTTAGAGTTTTGAGGTTCATTAAATTGATGCTTAAAAAAAAACCAGATCTGTAGATGAAGGCCTAAACGAGGATGGCCACTAAATTGCACCCAGACAGAGACAGATACAGAGAGAAAGAGAGAGAGAGTACCTGGGGAGGTTGGGACTGAACGATGAAAGCTTGAGCTATGGAGGCAGAGGCTTGAGCGATGAACATCAATGGAGGCAAGAGGAGAGGAGTGGAGTAAGACGCTCATTTAGTCAGTAGACGATAAGGTTGGTTATCTATTAGGGTTATATATATATATATATATATATATATATATATATATATATATATATATATATATATATATATATATATATATATATATATATATATATATATATATATTAATTAATGCAGGTAGGATATGATAGGAATGCGAAAATTAATGAGTAATTTGCATTCCTACTCGATTTAATCAGAAGACTAAAACTCTTTCACATTTTTATCCGATTTTTGTGACTAACCGTTCAATATGGTAGAGTAGGGTCAGGTAGGGTAGAAAAATTATGGTCAATTAAAAATTTGAACACTTTTACTTCATAATGTGCAGTGTGAGAGAGGGAGAACTAAAAGAATTTCAAAGAATAATAAAGTAGGGCATATGACAACAGGCATATGACAAGTCCAATTATTATTAAGTGTAACAAACACTAGAAATCTCAAAACACCACCATCTCCTTTTATTCTTTCCTCCTCACTTTATTTTAAGTAGAACAGAAACACCAAATGCCACAGGGACACTATCAGTCCCATTATTAAAAGCCAAAATAAATAATAAGTAACAAAGGATGAAACCATCACACCACTCTCTTCCCAACCCAACAAGACCAACAAATAACAGACTCAACACCAATGGCTCAACATAATATCCATCCTCGCAACTCACTTACATAAGACAGAACAGCAACCACATATCGATAAAGACCAAGTAATTAAGGTCTAAAAGATTGTATTAGTACACGAGACTACTACCAACGGGCCTTTGGTTTAATGCAATTCTTTACCTTGTGAAAAACTTTATCTTTTAGAGGTCAAATGTTCGAGTCCCCTCCAAAAAAAAAAGTACATGAGACTACCGTCACTTCAAGGTTGCTGGAGAATATGATATCTCCCTCTCTCAATTAGCCCCACCATTGGTGCACTGCAACCCCCTCATCTCTCAGCCTTCCATACAATGCCAAGCACTGCCAATAAGCCCTCTTACTCTCATTTTCTACCCCATCCTCTTGCCATTGGTTCTTGCAACCTAAAAACAGCTCATCCACCAAACATATTGTCTTCTTGTTTATCATCTCCTCTACCAATTGTGCTTCTGCCTTCATCACAACATAGTCCTCTTCCTTTACATTCTTCATCAACCACTCAGACACCCCAATTGTCTGAGGCGAATTCTGCTTAATGATCCTTTGTCTACCTTGTCCGCTTCATACATCTCAAACTCCAAATTATAAATCTCAAATTGCTGATTTCCCATCGGATAATTTTCATGAAACCATTCCAGAACTCCTGCTTTTTCATCTGAAATGAAAATCCGACGCTGATAGCTTTCAAGTGAGTCCCCCAACAAATTGGGGAGGAACTTGATTTTCCTTGAGCCATTGCTCGATTTTGCTAATGCTTGTCTTGGTGGCTCGAGCAATACGTCCTCTAGACCCCCCAATGCCGCTTTCTTGGCCTCTTCTGTGATCCCACAAAGTCTCTGCTTTGTTGGGGATTTCGCTAAGCCATCCACCACATCAATTTTCCTCATTGCTACCACAGTCGAATCAAATCTCCGAATATACACAATTTTATAGTTTGCTTGCTGTTGAAACTTATCTGGATGGTCATTGCTCAATTGCATAACAACAATGCCACCAATCTTGAGAACCCGGTCTAAAAATTTAGCATCCTGAAAGCTGGGTGTGAACACAAAATCAAATGTCTCTTTTGGAATCAAGCTTTGGCGGCCCAAATCAGATCCAATAACCAAACTAATATCGTTATCAACTAAGAACTGCGAAATTTCTTCAGGATCACCAATGGCAGAACTCAAAATGAGACCCTTAAGGCCTTTTTTAAGAAGGCCTTCGTCGGCCAAATCACGAAAAACAAAAGGCAACAAGTCGAAATCAATCACATCATAGCCAACATCAGAGTCATAGAAAGCACTTGAAGATCCCCTGATAATAGACATAATTGAGGGCAATGTCAGAATAACAATAGCCAAGAACAGTGATCGTGACATAAGACGCAAAAACCGCGAATCCGGGACCTTAATGATCAAAAGGGTAGCGGAATTCAATCCGATCCCAACACCTTTCATCTTGGTTTCGTTCCTGAATCGATACCCACGTTCCAAATCCATTTCAAACTTATATATTTCGCATTCAAACACGAAATGCTTTAACAATTTTGATGGGTGACTCGCCGAAAATTACATCCGAAACGCAAATTTTCCAATACAAGAACTTGATTGGCAGATATATGAGAAGTAACCAAATCGTGAAATGTTGGTAAATCCAATGTTAGAGAGAAACACAAGAGAATGAAGAAGATCTAGCGAGTACAAAACCTAGAAGCGGTGTGGTTTCCACCCACGAGGGCAACACGGGTGCTTCTAATTCCACACCATAGGAGCATCAATTGCCTGATCCTGGCAATCTCCATGTCCCCCTTTTTTGTTGTTCCCTCTCGTTCTCTCTCTCACCAACCCAAAGATCGATTCAAATGGAGTTTACATGGTACCCAGATGTTATTCTGTAACGGATAATCTGAAACATAACCAGAATCGACCAGAGAGAGAGTGGGGGAAGCAAGAGAAAGGAGAGGGCACAGATGTGGTGGCGTGGTGCGGAAAATGAGAGAAGAGAGATCGAGGAAGTGATGTTATGAGAGTATAGAACAGATTATTGTTGGGTTATAAAGGCGGTGAGGAGTTAGTTGTTTGTTGGGGTTGCTTTATTTAGGTGCTCTGCATGCGTGTGGGGACCGTGGGGGTCATTGTATTATTTTTGGTACATTCTGGGGTTGAAATTGAGTCAAAAACATTCAAGTGACAATTTTTTTTTATAAATTACAAGTTAGTAGCTAAATATAAGAACCAATTGTTTACAAGACCTAGCAATTTTTTTTTTTTTCGACGGTGAAGAATGTTTAGATCTGTTTATGTATATTTTGACTAATTTTTTTTTTGGTTTGTCAAAGATAAACCATTCACGTTGAAATTAGGATATATATGAGGAATAAATTTTTTATGATTTGACTTTAAAGATTGTCGAGATTCGAAATCAAGACATCTGAATTTTTAATTCGTCGTCCGTGTTACCACTTGAGTTACTATTTGATGATGGTGGAATTTTGAGCATGGGCTGCCAAGATTACAGGTCAAAAGGTCCTACGGCCAAGAAAGAAAGTCCAGGATTAGCCCAGCGAAATCAAAGAAAATCCAGTGAAAATCAGAAAGAAAAAAGTTTAGCCCAGGCCCAATCAAGGGCCAGCCTGACAGTAGCCCAAAGAAGAAACGAATCATTCACCCCCAAACAGCCCAGATACGCCACGCACCCAAAGAACAAGGGGACCATCTTTGAAGCAGCTGCAGTTGCGCATTCCCGGACACAGAGGATGGTGGAGCTTGAGGTCCCAGAGATCATGGGTACTGGAGGACCGACGAAGAAAGGCTTTTGCAGGATAAGAACAGGAGGTCCCCACAGGATCAACAAAAAAGGCAGGAGATGCCATTATGACCCTAAGAGAGACGACCCATATATAAAGAACAGTGCCTTACAAAGAATAAGGAAAGTTCCTCTCTCGAAAATCAGATAGAAAACTCTGTGATCAAACCCACTCTCCTTGTAAATCTTGCGTCTGTAATTTGATTACATTCAACAAAAACTCTATACACAACAAATGGGAGCAAGAGACTCCCTTATAGTGGATGTACCCTCGGTCTATTGGTTGAGGTGAACCACTTATCTTCTTTGTACTAAATTAGATTAGAAAACCCAAATCTATTGAACCTACTCTAACAGCGAATTTAAAATCCTCCATTCCCTAGGCTTGGGCAATAATTTTCGAGACTCCATCAGTTGGCGCCGTCTGTGGGAACAATTTTCATCACTTCCTTATCTGATTTCTATTTGATAGTTTTAATTCGAAATATGAGTAAAGCTCCTGCCAACCCTCAAGCCCACCAGAAACCTACCAGAGAATCCCCTGATTCCCGAAGTGGTCGCTGAAAACCACTTCACGGCAACAAACCTCCCCCCTCTCAAAGAGATGGATACCTTTCACCAAACCACGATGCAACTTATGAAACAGAACCAGGAGCTGTTGGAATGGATACGGACTCACCAGCTCCCTCCATTCCCACCAGCTCAACAAAAGCCCCCTCCACCACCAATAGGTCACAACACTCCTCTTCTGGAACGCCAAGCTCCACCGAATGGGGTCACAAAGCTCCACAAGCACAGCCACTCTAGAGAAAACCATCGGAGGATGAAGCTCATAGTCGAGCTACAGCTGCCTTCCGACAGGATAGGCCTCATCCCCCATTCGAAACTGATGATCGCATGTGGGAGTAGAGAATCTGTGAACTCCAATGGAACTGGGGCAACGTGAAAGAGGTAGTTAAAGGAAAGGCCCCTAACGACCATGGATGTCCTAGTCCAGCAAAATGAGTCGCCATTTACACCCGAGGTCCTCCATTTCCCTCTCCCTCATAAGTTTTGGATGCCGTCGATAGAGGCATTCGACGAGACCAAAGACCCAATCGACCATTTAAACTCCTACAAGAATCAGATGGAACTCTAGGGGTATCCAGACCCGATTCGTTGTCGAGCTTTTGCCATTTTTCTGAAGGGATCGACAATAGCCTGGTTCAATAGGTGACAACCGACATCAATCTCCTCCTTCAGGGAACTGTCAATACAGTTCATCTCACATTTCATCAGAGTAAGAACGTACAAAAAGCCATCCTACCACCTACTGAGCGTCAAATAGGGACCAAATGACTCCCTTAGAGGTTACGTGCAACGCTTCAACCAGGAATGCCTGAAGGTGGAAAGCGTGGATGATAAATTCGCGTTAATCACCTTCATGTCAGGACTCAGAGTGTAGTCCAAAGACCTTCTCTTCTCGATCGCTAAGAACCCTCAGGCTACTATGGGCGAGGTGTTAGCGAAGGCTGAAAAGTACATTAATGGCGAAGAAACTCCCCGCCTGAAAGAAAATTTGGCAACGCCGAAAGGGGACAAGAAGAAGAGGGACTATAGCCCCAAGAGATAGAAGAGGCGCGACCGGTCCCCAAGAAGAGACCGATCCCTGAGAAGAGGGAGAGAGCCTTCCCCTAAAAGGAGAGAAAATGTCCGAGATCGACTAGGACCTTCTCTATAGGAGCTGCAGCTACGGTATGCTCCAGCTCGACTCCCACCCCTTGTTACCTCGATCACTCAAGTCCAAAACGAGAGGTTCATCCGGTGGCCACCGCGAATGAAATCTGATCCCAGCAGGCGGGGACGCCATTAAGTAACACCAGCCACGAGACGAATGACTACATATAACTCAAGAAAGAGATAAAATATCTGATCTAGAAGGGACTCCTACGCCACTACATGGCGGTAAATGGAAAAGCTTGGAATAATCAAGGCCGAGAAGATCGAGCTGCCGCAGAACCCCCTCAACAGCACCAACAAGCCCTCGGTGAAATTCGAGTCATCTCCGGGGGATTTACAAGGGGCGGAGAGTCTAGCTCAACAAGGAAGGCACACGCCAGGAAAATCCGATCAGAAGATTTTGATGAAGTCCAAGCCGTCAGCAAAGCACCACTGTCAAGATACGGAGATCACATTTTTCGACACGAATTTAGAGGGGTGCCAACACCCACATGACGACCCCCTGGTCATAAAGGAAATAATCGCAAACAAAGCCGTGTGTCGAGTGCTCATTGACAACAGCAGCTCAGCAGATATCATTTTCCTTTCTGCATTTGATCAACTCGAAATAGAGAGATCAAAGCTCGAGCCCGTGAAAACCCACCTCTTAGGCTTTTTGAGTGAAAAAGTCCTCCCCATCGGATCCATTCAGCTCATACTCATCATAGGAGACCAGCCTTGCCAAGTCATGACCACCGTTCAATTCCTAGTAGTCGACGCGCCCTCTGCCTACAACGCTCTATTAGGAACACCATATCTTAATGCCATCAAGGCGATACCTTCGGTCTACCATCTGGTGATATAATTCCCAACCAAGAATGGGATTGGTATGGTTAGAGGAGATCAGCACCTCACCAGAGAATGTGACGTGGCATCGATGAGGCAAAGGGAGGTGTAGTTGGTACACATGGAAGACCTGGATATGAGGGATAAACTAGGAACCCGACCAACCCCCACTGAACAGCTAAAGCTAGTGCAGCTAGACGAGGACACCGAGCACGTAGTCTTCGTAGGTTCCATGCTACTCTCAGCTATCAAAGAGAAGCTCATCACATTCCTGAAAACGAACATCGATGTTTTTGCATGGAGGCAGGAAGATATGAAAGGGATAGATCCCGCTGTGATCATTCACCATCTCAGCGTCGATACGAGCTGCAAGTCGGTGCGATAGAAAAGAAGAAGCTTTGCACCAGACCGGCAAAAAGGCAATCAACGAAGAGACGGCTAAATTGTTGCGAGCCATAGCAATCGAAAAGTCGATTACCCAACCTGATTAGCCAATGTTGTCCTTGTAAAGAAGGTCAATGGCAAATGATGACTTTGCATCGACTTCACCGAATTGAACAGGGCATGTCCCAAGGACAGTTTTCCCCTCCCATGGATCGACCTCATAGTCAACGCCACGGTTGGACATGAGCTCCTCAGTTTTATGGATGCCTTCTCAGGGTACAACCAAATCAGGATGGATCCGAGTGATCAAGAGAAAACCTCCTTCGTTATAGAGCAAGGAATATTCTCTTACCAAGTGATGCCGTTTGGATTAAAAAAATGCCGGAGGCACACGTCCAACACCTCGGCGAAGCATTCGACATCATGCGATAATACAGAATAAAATTGAACCCGACGAAATGTTCCTTCGGAGTATTAGCGGGGAAGTTCCTAGGCTTCATCGTCAACAGCTGAGGTATCGAGGCAAACCCCGACAAAGTAAAGGTCATCATCAAAATGAAATCTCCCACTAGCACTCGCCAAATACAATGTCTGACCAGAAGAATTGTCGCGCTCAACTACTCTGTCTCACGCTTCAGTGACAAATGCCAACCATTCTTCAAAATCTTAAAGGTTATTTTCCAATGGAACGACAAGTGCGAAGAGGCCTTTCAGGATCTCAAAGCTTATCTAGCCTTGCCGCCGGTGCTGGTTAGCCCTCGAGAAG